GGAAAGAGGAGGGGATAAATGAGTGACGAATAGTATGTACAGGTATTGGCATTCTGGAGAAAGCTCAGCATGCAGGGAGAGCTGAGCACCTTGGCTAGGAAACAGCAGACACTCCTACCCACACCTGGCAGGTACCTGGACTCCTACCTAGGAGCAGGCGAGACTAACATCATCTGCTGAGATTGCCCTCTGAGATGTGAAATAAGCGCGTAAATACCATCATTAGAGAATCAGGCTTGTCGTTACCTAGAGGGTAGATGCCCACAGGGCACAGAAGCCGGCATCTCTGCTAACTTTGTCCTCCTCTTCCTCCCATAACATGGAAATTCTAAAAGGACAAACCAAGGTATCCACCAAAAGAATAATTTTCTGTTTGAAATTGTGTGTGAGTGTGTGTGAAAGCAAAGCAAAACTCAGAGAAGCATTTAGTAATCTCCCTCCCTCCCTTCCACCTTTTTTTTTTTTTTGCTTTACTTGGACTCTATCCATACTTCAAAATCAATCAAAAATGGCAAACCTCAAGATGTAAATCCAATCAATCATTCCCAATACATCAAAGGGGGGGGGAGGCTTTTACCTTTAATTTCACAGTCTTCTGAAAATCTAGATTGGGTGCAAGGATGGAAGGGCATTGGAGTGGTGGTGGGGACAGGCAAAACAAAATAGAGCCCAAGTCTCTGCTTAGCAGCAGACTAATGGTTTATTTCTGGGAGCAAATCCAACCTTGAACATTAATCTGGTACAGAGTGCCCTGCAAACAGAAATGTACAATATGAAACCACTAACTGTGATTCAGTCTTTGGGGGCTACTTGTTAATTCAAGTCCCTCCTTACATTTTCCCAGTCTCTCTCCCTGACCTGATGACACAACTCTGTTACCCATAGTGAGAAAGAGAAGCTTAAAGCTCAACAATTCTGATTCTACTTGGCCTATTCTCCTTGCTCCATGAGGTCTCTCTAAAGCACTTCAAATTGTAAATACTTTAGATAATGCTCACGGAAATAGCTGGAAAGGAAAGAAGAAAAATGGAGTGGCAGAGTATATCCCAGAGCTGCTTCTTTTAATCACCTATGATCACTCGTTCAGAAAACACATAGGACTACCTACCATTTTTTAGAAACCAAAGACACAACACTGAACAAAAGAGACACTTCCTTACACTCATGAAACTGATACTGTAGCCACGGAAGGTATGCAATAAACAAAAGACTCAAAAGCACCATGGGGAAATGGGAAATGATATTTCTCTGATCACTGCAAAGAGATGAAAATGCCCTAAAAAATAATAAACCTTCACATTGATCCAGGAATCACTCCACAATCCCCACTGCTCTGTCTAAAATGTTGCTTAAACTCTCACAAACTCATCTTTACTGAAATAAAAGGTGAGGCAACAGGAAAAGGAGACCTCTATTTAATGTTCCAGTGAGTTAAGAAGTAACTCATGCAGACACCAGACGTTAAGTTCTTCCATACCGGAATATCCCTACCAGGTCACACATCATATGATTCTCAGAGTGAATTTTCCAAGAGAATCTCCTTTTTACTAGCAACAAGTAGATTTCAAAGCAATATGTTCAAGCTTCTCTGGCCAGCATCTTTAAGAAGCAAGAAGAAAAAGAAAAACAGTTAGGGAAAACGCAAAGATCAACTGCCTGTGCACAATCAGTTATGTTACCTAAATTCCTAAGGATAGCATGTGCTACATTTTTACAAGTAAAAGAAATAAATAATATATACAATTCAGTCACACTAAGGGTCATGACCGATTTCTTAGAGTTCTTGGTTTGTTTTTTGTTTTTGTTTTTAATACAGAATGATTAAGACTACCTGGCTGTATCTATACATTTATGTTTTGACTATACATCACAGAAGACTTAGAAGAAATGTTCCTCACAGCCCATTTTAAAAAGCACAAGGAACCAGGAGTTAGCGTAATGGCTATGTCGCTGGACTCCCACGTAGTCGACCGCGGTTCGCGTCCCGGACCCGGTGGCTTAAAACTCACGCCGGGCGCGTGTGCGTGCGTGCCCAAGATCCCGAGAGGAGAATGGAGGAGAAGGGATTGCGGCGTGACCATCCCCCCTGGGGGGTGATTTCTCGCTTTCTATCTCTCTGTCTCTCTGTCTGTCTGGCGAGCGCACGAGCCCTATAGTGAAAAACCTCTCAAAAAAAAAGAAAAAAAAAGCACATAGGTTTAAATTTAAAAGAAGAAATGACTGTGGTAAAATAAACTGGATGAACAAAAGGCAAAACTGTCCCCTCAAACCAGCTAGGATTTATCCTCCTCTATCACATACATCAAAAGTTTGCAAATATAAAGTGACAGACAGATTTTCAACAACAACTTTCTGGTTTCGCTGCTTTCTGCCAACAGAAAACTAATCAAGTTAAAAGCCTCGGGAGAGTTTTCCTAAAGGAAATGGCCTCAACCTTCGAGAATTACAGCACTCCATGCATCACCCTGATGGGTCTGTTATATTAATAGCATTTTAGTAGCAAGATTCTTTTCAGCCAGCCAAGGTAGGAAAGAAACCACTTTTATCTTCAGAACTAGAATTTAGAGATGAATGCCAAATCCCCTAAATCCTACCAAGAAAAATTCTCAGGGGATGACCTGAGCAGAGTC